ATCATACCTGTGATAGAATCATATCTGTATTGGATTTTTACCACATTTCCTCCCTTTCCACAATGGGTCATAGAAACTTAATTGTCCCTTGCCTTTAATTGGCTATAAAGAAATTTTCTGACCTATTTTCTCTGATAATAAGACCTTCCATATTCCAGAGGTGTCCTGACCCATACCCTGGAGGAAGGAATGCTGCACAGAGGCCAAGAGAAATCTGAACAAATTGGCCTTGCTGGGTTTCTCCATCCATTCTATTAATAATCATGCCAATGCAATGGAGTCTCCATAAAACCCCAAAACAATAGGGCTCAGAGAGCTTCTGGACAGAATAATATGTGGAGGCCTACAGGTAGGTGAATGAGGATTCAACCATGAGCGAAGAGGATCATGTATCTCAAGTCCGTGAGGATGGGAATGCCTGTGCTTGAGATCCTTTCACATCTTGCCCTATATATCTCTTCATCTGGCTGCTTATTCATATCCTTTAAAATATCTTTTATCATAAACTGGTAAATTGGTAAATAAAAGGATAGTATTTCTCTGAGTTCTGTGAGCCACTCTAACAAATTAATTGAACATGAGGGAGTCATGGGAACCCTAATTTGTAGCTGATTGATCAGATGTTCCAGAGATCTGGACTTGCACCTGGGTCTGAAGTTGAGGCAATATTGGGATCTCAGCCCTTAACCTGTGGGATCTGACATTGTTTTTGGGTAGAGAATGTCAGAATTGAATTTGGTTAGAGGATACTAGCTGGTGCCAGCTGCTGAATCGCTTGCCTGCTAGAGAGGAGAAATCATCACACCTTATAAGGTCACATAATAGGCTGGGTAGAAGAGCATGTGCTTAGGAAAATGTTCAAAGCCCTCTGTTCAAGCTCCAGCACCACAAAAGAAAGAAGGAAAGAAAGAAAGAAAGAAGAAAAATGATTGATGTACTATAAATGAATAATTGGAAATTGAAATTATAAAAACTATACAAAAATATGCAACCAGCCTCTAATAGTGCCATTATCTGAAAACAAAACCTTTGATACACAAACCTAAAGATCTAAACCGTAACAGTTTCCAATCTCTATATTCTTAATTTCTTTATTTCACTGGCTAGGATTTCTAGCATGATGTTGAAGAAGAGTGGTGATAGCACTATCCGATTTTGTGGAAGAGCATTCATTTTTTTAATGTTAAATATAATGATAGCTTCACATTTTTTTAAAGCTTTTTATCTGATTAGAGGGTCTCTAGGAGCTGAGGATGGCCTCTGGCCATGAGTCAGCAAGAATCCAGGACCTTCAATCTTACAGCCACCAGGAAATGAATTCTTTCAACAACGCGTGTGAGTTTGGATTCTTCCTTATATACAGCAGTTTCCTAATGCTGCTGTAAGAATACCAGGATTTGTTTGCTCAGGGCTCAGAAGTTCAAAGCAACTCTTACAGGAATATACTCAAGGTGTTATCCAGGCTAAATTCCTCCTGGAGGTTACCAGGAAGAATCAATTTCTTGTCTTTTCTAGCTTCTAGACACCACCAGTGTTTTTTAGGATTGTGATTGCTTCATATATCTTCGTAGTCAGCAGTGGCGAGTGAAATCTTTCTCGTATCACACTGCTCTGCTTCTGCCACCATCAATTTCCTTCTCCAACTTTCTAGCCTGATTCTCATATAAAGATATTTTTTATTACATTGTGTTCACACAGATAATCCAGAATAATTCCCCCATTACACATCCCTAATTTAATAATATCTGCAGAGCCTTTGGTATAGTTTGAACTGTAGGTGTCCCTGAAAGATCCACGTGGTTAAAGCTGTGGTCCCCAGCATTGTATTATTGGGAGGAAGTGGAACATTTAAGAATCAGAGGGCTGGGGATTTAGTTCAGTGGTGCAGCCGCCTGCCTAGCAAGTGCAAGGTCCTGAGTTCAATCTCTGGTACCAAACAAACAAACAAACATTTAAGAGGTGGAGCCTAGAGAAAGAATTTAAGGTCACTGAGGGCGTGTCCTAAGTGGAACTACAGATCCTCTTCTTCCTCTCTTTTACATCCCTGCCAGGAGATGAGCAGTTTTAATCTGCAAGATGCTCCCAAACAACGGATGCTAATGGGGTGATTCTTATACTATCACTTAGAGTTTCACGTGAGTATGCAGAGTCTGGTGCAAGTGGGGTGATTCTGATGTGTATGGATTAATTTTTATGCATGTGGGTAGATTGTTGCACCGTGGTTGATTCTCACAATATGTAAATTCTTGTGGGAATGGTTATGAATCTGTGGTTCAGAACATACAGCTTCCTAGTCACAGAAAATGTGCGGTTACTTGTATTTTCTTATTTATAAGAACTATTCAGTATTAATATTTGGTCTGGGTCATGATAATACAAGCTATGCTAGAGATTCTACACTGAAAGCAATTTAACTTTATGAGGGAATCAGATGTCATAGTAATAATATATTAATAAATATAAAGTTCCACAATTTGATAAACATATAAAAATGTTAAAAAGTGTAAGGGTGTAATGAGATCACACAAAACAATAAATTCCTGCTTGAGGTAATCCAGCAAAGATTCATAGATGAGATACCATTTGACCTATCTGCTATAAGATGAGAAGTGGTTTGCAAAAGGAATTAGAGGAGAAAGGGAATTGCCATAAAAAAGTACATATGTGAAAAGCCGGTGGTGGTGATGTGTCAGAGGCCGATTTCCTCCGACTGTCTGACTACCTAGAAAGAGGAATGGCTACTAAAGAAGAAAAGACAATAGAGACGAGTAATTTAAAAGTATATAGGGGACCGGGAGGTCAGTGTGACAGAGTGGGCAAAGACAAAGACTCCCTGAGCTAGCCACTATTTATTGGGTACAGTCAGTAATTGGAGGACTTGAGGGGCCATGGCGATCCTACGTCTGATCCTTTGTGGATGCAAATCCTATGCTGAGGAGAGCACTCCCAGGACAGCAGGTGGGATGAGTTGAGCTGATAGGGAACTCATCCCTCCCCAGGTGAAACCTTTCTCCTTTTATATTACTACTGGCATTTGAAAGAACCAGGATGTCTGTCCTCAGTTGATGTTTCTTGCCGTTGAGCACCACAGCTTCATGAACCATTGAGGCCTCATCTGTGACTGGAGGCAAAATGTAGTTGTGTTTCTACATGCCATAGCCTGCTCTCAGATAAGACAACACTGGGCCTTAGCTATAGTCATACTTTGATTATGAAATGATTTCCCCCCAAATTTATGTAGAAATGCTCCTGACAGTGTTGCACACTTATAACTCCGGCACTCTGGAGGCTGAGATAGGAGTATCACCATGAGTTTGAGGCCAGCCTGGGATATACAGTGAGTTTAATCCCAGCCTGAACTATATAGTGAGACTATTTCAAACAAACAAACAAACAAGTATGTGAGAACAAGCATAATTTTTCAAAGAAGCATGGTATGTTGACAGAATAGTTAGAACAGAATAGAAGATGCAGAAACAACTCCAAACACACTAAACCCACCTTATCTTCACAAAGGGGCCAAATAGCTTCACTGGAAGAAAGCCTCTTTAATAAATGGTGCTGGAAAAACTGGCTTTCCACATGCTGAAGACTAAAATTAGCCTCATGTTTCTCACCTAAACTAAAATTGAAATGGATCAAAGATTGAAATATTAAAACAGAAACATTAAATCTTCTGGAAGAGAGAATAAGTGGTACTCTCAAAGACACTGGTGTAGGCAAATTTATGAACAAAATTCTGATCGCATGGAAAATATTACAAAAAATCAAGACCTGGAATCTCATAAAAATTTTCCTCAGGGCTGGGAATTTAGCTAAGTGGTCTGGCACCCGCCCTGCAAGCACAAGGACCCAAGTTAGATCCCCAGTACCAAAAATAAAAATTTTTTTTCCTCAGAGACTAATATCTAGAATATATAAAGAACTGAAAAAAATCAATCTCCTCCCAAATTTAAAGACCCAATTCAAAAAAAGACATCTGAGATGAACACATACTTCTCAGATGAAGTAGAAATGGCAAATAAATATATTAAAAATGTTCAACATCACTGGTCATTTGAGAGATGCAAATTAAAATAACACTGAGATTCCATCTCACTCTAGAAAGAATGGCTGCTATCAAGAAATCAACCAACAACAAATGCTGCAGGGATTTGGAGAAAAGGAATGCTTCTCCACTGTTGGTGGGAATGTAGACTGGTGCAACCACTGTGGAAATCAGTGTGAAGACTCCTCAAAAACTAGAACTAGAGGTTCCATTTGACATCTTCCTTAAAGAATTAAAAGCATCATGCCACAGTGATATATGTGCATTCATGTTCATTGCGGCACAGTTTGTAATAGCTAAATCTTAGAAACAACCCAAATACCCATCAACTAATGAATGGATAAAGAAGATGTGTTTTTTTATACAATGGAGTACTATTCAGCCATAAATAAGGTTAAACTTGAGACATGTATAGCTAAATGGTTGAACCTAGAGATTATATTCTTAAGTGAAGTAAATTAGACATACATGCGTAAATATCACATTATTTCTGTGGTGTGAGAAATTGAAAGTATAAATAAGGCCCAAAATGTATAATATATATTGTGAAATAGCAAGAAAATGTTTAAATGGGAAGAGGCACAAGGGAGGGGAGAGAGGAAAAAGAAGAAAAGTAAAATAAAAAATGAGAAAAGAAAGACAAAATGGAGGCAAAACTCAAGAAGGGGAAGAGGAGTAAGAGGGAGGGGAGGGTAATGGGAAAAATATCAATTGAGATATATCTTGTACAAGCATATATTCCATATGATGAATGTGATCATTATGTATATCTAAATTGTACCAATTTATTGATAAAAAATAAAATAAAATAAAATTTAGAAATTTATCATGTGGGGAAAAATGAAAACCAAGACCTGGCATGTAAAGGTACAAGATCCCAGTAATGAATGTGACTGTACTGTCTACCTAGAATGTACCAATAAATTCAATAAAAAAAAAAGAAATTTATCATGTAAAGCACAAACATAGTCCCCCACTACCACAAATTATGCAGTCGAGTTTCCCACATTTGGGGAAATCTCAATGGTCAGCACATCAGGAGTGCAAAGGATAAGCCTTGCTCTGGGAAAACCTCCTTTGTGGTCATGGTATCTCCCCTGCCGGCTAACTATGTGATGGTTAACCTTAATTGGGTCAACTGATTGTTTTGGGAGCCACCCAGCGGATTAGTAAAGCACACACTGTGCATGTGTGTGTGTGTGTGTTATGGAAGCATGGCCTTGAGTACTAGACTTGGTCCCTGGGCCCTTCCTCTCTGGAACTATTTCACTGTTTTGCTTCCTGGCTGCCATGAGCTAGGCATCTTTCCTTCCCTATGCCCTGCTACCATGATGTTTCTTGGAGCCAGCTGACCATGGACTCAATCCTTTGAAACCAGGAGTCAGATTAAGCCTTTCCTCATGTAAGTTGTGGGTTTTGGGTATTTACACATTAGTCGTATCTCAGTAATGGGAAAAAAACTAATATATAGGAAGCATAATTGACAAAAAACATCACATTACAAAATTGTAATTTTGAGTGAAAAAATCTTAGTGGCAATAGGCAAAAACTAAGCAATGAGATACAAAGTACTGATTCATATGTCAAGTCACAGATCTCATGAATTAATTTTTTAAAACTTTGTTAATGATCTATAAACAATAAGCTGAAAACTCAGTACTCCTTTCTGAATTCATAATTTTTTTTCATAATCCAAATGAGTTTTTGGCAAAGACACAAGATTTTATAAATGAAAAAGGTCTTAGAATTAATCTATCCCAATTTTATACTTAACGTCATCCTGAAAGATAATTTCCTAGCTAACATTCAAGAACTCTCAGGTAAAGTTATTCATTCTGTAGACAATCCATCGCATGTTTGTTTTTCCTAGTATTGTCACATTACTTATCCCCAGGAAGCTTGAGGCAGTATTAGTCGTCTGTGGAGTTCTACAGACTTAATGGGCCATCAACCTGGCAGTCTTCCGAAAATTTGTCAGTTAAAGGTATGTTTTTACCAAGTTCTCTCTTTTTTGAGTGAAAATTTCTCATTTATATACTCATGTATCTTAAGCCTGCTTTTCAGAAATCCTAGTTTTCTACTTCAGCTCTTCTATACATTTCTCAGTATGTTCTGTGCTTGTTAACTTTTACTACTTGTATTGGAACATGTTGGTCACTACAGAGATCAATGTACCCTGTATTTCTTTTTATATTTACACTATTAGTTCATCACCTACTTTTTCTTTTTCTTCATCCTGTGGCTCTGGTGACTAAACTCAGGGCCTTGCACATGCCAGGCAAATGGTTTACTGATGAGCTATATCACCAGCACTTTTTATATTTTATTTTGAGACAGGGTCACACTAAGTAGCCTGGACTGGCCTTGCACTTGTGATCTTCCTGCCTTGGCCGTAGGAGTTGTTTGGAATATAGATGTACACTCTGAATCTGGCTCAACATTGGTTCTTAAATGTGAAATAGGGAAGAAAAGTGATACTTAGTTGCACCTACTATGTAAAGCCATTTTCCTACAATCTTTGTATGTTAATTTTTGGCTAGAAAATCTCATCAAACTAAATACTGTTTTTCCAATTCTACCAATTAGAAATTAGATGCCCAGAACATTATAGATAATGCATTGGCATCGTAGAAAATGTGGCCAAGATAAAAGAATCTTAATACAGTTTCTCATGATTGTAGAGCATATGTTGTCTTCATTAGGTCAAACTCAGTTTTTCTATCTCAGATATTAAATGCAGTCAGCTACATCCTACTAATATTTTGCATTACTTTAAAAGCTAGATTTCTCAGGATGATTTTAAGATAATGCTTAAAACAGGCTCTGCACTTCAACCTGATGAATTATGTTGTATTATATAACACTTCAAAATTTTATTTTTAAGCATTTATCACCATTCACACCACGAATTTAATCAGTATTGTCTGCTGATTTTGTAGATATTCTACATCTACATAAAAGTAACTGAAATATATTTCAAAATAAGTTTAAATCAATAACTATATCTATGCTCTCCTTAAAATTAGGCTTATCTCTTAAATAACATATTCAGTTTAATTGATTAATAATAAATATGTTGAACTTAACAATAATGAAATTACAAGTAATGAACCCTGTGTGTGCCATTGTAATTTGTGAATTCTAGACAAACGTTTCAATGCTGGAATGTGCTTACACTATTTAGTATTTGGGGGTGAGTGTAGAGAACATTAAACTAATTAAATATTTGAGTTGAAATACTCCCAATGTTAATAGGAAATCTTCCCAGTTTGATATACTTACTTTAATTATTATGATTATTTTGCTCATAAGAAATGAAGTTCAGTGAGCCTTAACATTTATCAAGTTTTATCACTAATGTTCTTTTAATTTTTTTCCAGATTTGGTTGTAATGAACATGGCAGAAAAGTTTTGCCCTAAATGGGAGGACTCCGTGAGTAGAAGACAGAGGGCAGCAGCACCATGGGAAAAGCCGATACATCTCAAATAATCTCCAAACACTTTCTTGTTGATGAGCATCCTAGGACTACAGCACTTGCCTGTCTGAATTGGGATTCTCTTCTGTTTCATACACGTGGTGGCTGGGATGGGGAGTGTGACCGTCTTGGCTGTGCTGTGCCCTCTCTGTCACTGATTCGGTCCTCTCCACATCTGTACTGCCACACATGCTCTGTCTCTTCTGGCTCGGGGCCCATGACATTGTCTGTGATGCCTGCCTGGTTCAAATGTTCTGCTCCCACAGCTTTACTGCCATGGAACCGGGCTTCTTCTTAGCCGTGGCCATTCATTGTTATGTGGCTGTCTGTGGCCAGTGCACCATGCCACAATTCTCACCCGTGGTCACATTGCCAGAATGGGAGCTGCAGTGGCACTCAAGGGTAGTAGTCTTCTTTTCTCCATATCCGGTTCTGCCCAAGCAGGTACCCTGATGCAGAAATTGAATCACTGCATACAACAGCTATGAAGCTGACGTGTGGAAATGAACCACCAAACCTTACTGCCCTACTGCAGCCACTGTCATGGTTTTCTGTGGTGCTCTCTTTCATGTTCTAATCCTCTGTGCATCACAAGAAGCAAGTGTTAAAGATTGAGGCATGTGTGGCTACCATGTCTTTGTCATCCTTGTTTTGTTTTATTTTTAACTGGTGATTGAACCTAAGGCATTTTTACTGAGATTCCTAGTTTTATTTATTTTTATTTTGAGACGTGTCACTAAGTTACCCAGGCTGGGTTTGATCTTGCAATCCTTTGCTTTAGCCTTCTAGAGTGCTGGGATTATAGGCATCAACCACCATACCCAGCTTATTTTTTATTGTTAATATATATATATA